AGAATGAGGAGAGTTCGGCGTCAGCCAAGCGATACAACTGGTAGATAAAATAAAGCTGATTGGAAAGCCTAACATAGAATGTGTGGTAATCACGTTACGTATCATATCAGCGCAATATGGCTGTTTTGTAAAGTGAATGGAAGTGAGAGCATTCCCAAAATGAGGACATGCCTCACTTGAAACTAATTCCACGCAAGACAACTTGGTAGGGTGTCGTCTCATAAACATGAAGCCTATCAAGTTCCCGTGTGCGGCTTCTCTAAGTGTTTCCAGTATATGCCCGTGTTATGATATGCCACAGAGCCTAGTCAAAGGTGCTCCACAATTAGATTCGGGGCTGCTCTTCGAAGCTGAGAAGGAGAAAATAGCTTCGTCTGTAGTGTTAGGCGGTTGCGTCACTTTCGCGGAGCAAAGGAGAGTGACGGAGACATCCATGCAGCCATTCCTATCCTCGGACTGATCCACAACCAGTGGCCCAATCTGCAGCTCTATTCAGCCATAAAACAGAAGACATACAAACGGAATAGAATAATGAAAGAACCCAGGCACCGATACTGTTGTCAGTACGAAATCAGCTGGGATTAACTGTAGCTACAATATGGACTGGAACCAGTATCAGTCCAATCACATCCTCTGCTCACCCTCGTTTACTACAAATCCGCTCGTCTTTTCTAGTTTAGAGGGCTCTTTTCGGAGCACAGGCGACGACTTTTTTTATTTCATGTCCACTGTTGAGTTTCTTGCTAGATTGGCATCGAATGGCTCATATAGTCCGTGCAATAGGCTCGTCCGTCAGCCTTTGAAGAAGACCTTTCTCAGGCCTTCTCGATCTACCCTAGGCAGTCTGCAGATAAAGCCTAAGGTACGAGTACAAAATCAAGAAAAAATAATGGGATTCTCAAATTCGACATAATGTGCAGAACGCCAGGATGCATGTAACCTACAACGGGGAAACGACAGTAGTCTTGCACTTACCGTGACAAGGTAGCAACCCTTATGCTCGTCTGATCACATGGGTAGGAGAAAGTGAATCCAAGTGGAAGGTTTTCATCGGCTAGTCCCTTCTCGACCAAGAAATCAGCAAGCACCTTCGTGATGTAATCGAATAACTAAAAAGAGATCTTGGGGAGAGCAAACACTGAAAACACTGAAACTTCTCAACGACCATTTTTTTTCGAAGGTAGCTGTGCTTTGTTGACCAACTGCCCTGTCTTACAGAACTCATACGCTTCAACACCTATCCATGAACCCTCGTGCATTGCAGATCCTTCAATATGGAAGCTCCCATTATGACATTTCGGTACCTGTTCGCCGGTGCCCTGCATAGCTGCCTTTGGTACACTGGTGTTGAACTGCTCCGTTTCCATTTCTTTGCCAGGTTCAACGTACATAGTCATCACTCGCAAATTCGTACCACCCAGGTCCAAAGCGACGAACTTACCACGTTCTGAAAATAGTGCCTTATAGCACATTTCGAATGATTTGTCATGACACTCTAAGATGCACCGTAACATTCTGGTAGCCGAAACATGTACACCAAAACGGTTAGTTAGAACTACCCACAGGTCTGAGCAATAAATCACCTGTGCCATCCGGCAGTTCTGCTAAGAAGGAAGGCAACATTGCGATGGTAGACTTCTGAAGATATAAGGTTGGTAATTTGCCGACTTTTCACACTCACACCTTCCTGACGAGAAGGGAAATCGAAGAAAAGAGAGAATTTGATTCCTTCAAAAAATGGCTTAATATGTGGCATGTATACTCGCTATTCGAATCAGCTTATAAATCCCTGGCACGTTCTGCTTCCTTGACTACTAGATTGGCTCTCGACCTACTACCGCCAGAGTCCCTTGTGGACAGTTCTTCGTGTGAAAATGATCAACGCCGTTCAAAGAGGCTAGTTCCTGTTGGGCAGAGCGTTTTTTATGCTTCAAAGATAAGAATGAAATAACCTCCAGCCCGCCCTCGAGTCCTCTGTCCATGTATTCATTCATGTGCGACATCAGCCGCCGTAGTGTCTCATTAGAAAGCTGGAACTCATCCATTACGGATTCCAGCTGAAAATATAATATTGCAATGTACGATGTCCAAAATGCGCGTAGCTTTTCAAAAACTTCACACGCAGCTAACTTTCACACTGTGAGCACTTTAACTTGCCATGAGAACAAAGCGGCTTCAAAGCGCGATGATCGTATGGATGGAAAGCAGTTCATTCGTTATTACAACAGTGCTTCTCTTCGTCTAAAACGGTTGGGAGCAGTCACACAAGGAACTGCGAACAATCAAATTTCCTTCGCTCTGCGCGCGGTATGTCTTTAATTTGTAAGCAACAGTTCCTGAAATTAAAATACTGATGAAATGCGGCCGAAGACTCACAGAGAAATACTCACGCTGCCTCAGTCGGGCTCTACCAGCAATTTTCTTGATGTCCCTCTCGATGCTGAATTCCTCATCGTCCTTGGAAAGGCGAACCCTGCTTTGGTTCCACGATCTGAACAAATCGGCAAGCAAGCGATAATTTGCTCTTTTGCTGTCATTATCACGTCTGAAATGTCCTCAAGTTGCTATAAGGACATCTACTTTATTCTAGTGCCCCGGTCTGAACATTGATGAGTAACACTATCAACGGTGCAGGTCCAACACACATTGAAATGCTTCCACGGAATGTACTTATGTGTTCAAGTACTACCTACAGTAGTGGTAAATAAGAACAAGCGGAAAGCGGAGTTATATAGTAGTTGCGCTCGAATTTCTCCATGGATCCCTGCATGAAGATATTGTTTGTGGGAGAGAACATGCCAAGATAAATTGTTCGCCTCTATAGCATCCGTGACTAGTCTTGAGTGTCGCAAGCGTGAAGTACTCTATCACAAAAATAAACTGTTCGGTATAGACGCGACAGATCTGATATGATAACAGCTTGCTGGTCTGAAGACTAACAAATACCGGAAACTGTTGAAAAAATGCGCATTTTTGGACGTCTTCAGATTATTTCGTCGACACCTTACACAAGTTGGCAGTGCAAAGGAAGTAGAATTACATATGGAAGTTCGAATCCTCTGCTCACCTGTATAAGCAGGCTAGGCCCAATACTCCGAGCATCATCGATCAATGGATGTGCCCTATAAATGACTATCTACATTGTCGAACTGATAAAATTCGAGAACGAACAGAAGTCTCGAAGTGACTCTGTGGCGGAACAGAGTCTCGAAAGGTGACTCTGTGGCAGATATTCGCGTTATTCAACCACAAGAAAAAGCTTCTGATTTTGTTGTGGGAGTGGTGTAGTAATTTGCTCATGCTTATTAAGGCAGGAATTTAGTCAAGGCCAACTGTAACACTTAGTGTATTTGAGTTAAGCCGAAAATCAGCCGCACAGTGCTCTATAACGATGTTATGGACAGTTCCCCATGTACATTGAAGAGTTGGCGCTCTACATGAAGCGACCGCAAGGGTGCGCCAGGCATGTTCTGGTAGGGTACACGCACAGGGCTGCGCTAACGTGCAGTAAACAATTCTTGACAAGGTTCAGGTGAGCCGCGCGTGAATTTACATAAAGAAGAAATGGAGAAAAGAAAGAGAGAAAAGCAATAAGAAAAAATAGTTGAAAGACTTAACATACACTCCTCATCATTACGGACTGGTCGAGGTTCGGATGTCAGTGCGGCTGCGTTTTCCGCGGTGCCAAAGTCTTTCTGCACCAGTTGTTGAAGTGAGCAAATGACATGACAGCATTATATCCTTCGTATTACTCGTTTTCTACCACTTTTTGTCGCATACGCGTTTCAACGAAAAGGCTGAGAACGGCTTCAAACAGTGTGCGCACTCCTGTGGGCTGATATCGCACCGACAGTCCGTAATGAAAAGGCAGAGTATTACAAGTTGATAAGACTAACATATTAACAAAAGAAAATTATCAGCATCGCGTGGAGTGACATACTTTTACAAAGCCACTTTGAACACTGATGACGGCATATTGACATTTGCTATATTTGCTGGGGTGGAGTTGTTGATTGAGAGACTGTTGATGGTATAGAAATGAGTCGAGCGCTAATCATCATCAACGTCGTATTGGAGTTGCTGGTTGGTAGCGGAGGCGTTGATTTCGACTCGAATGAAAGAATCGACATTTACTGTTACTTTTTCTTTCGAAAAATACGTGGATTAGCAGGGCCCACCAAACCGCTGTAGAACTGGAGGCCTATTGCGCACGTCTTCTTATTTCGGTTTGTGTGCATACTCTAGGCATTGCCCGGTTACGTGACATCTTCAACTTTTGTGCGCTCCTGTTGCGTTGTGTCTTGTTGCAAAAGTACCCCAGACAGATAGAGGACAGCGGCTGCCAAAGCACCGGAGAGTGAAGAAACATGTGGCGAACCAGGAAAGGGGGCTTTTCCAGGAGAAGTGACTCCGCGGTGGAGTGGACTCCG